ACAGGATCCTTCCCCTGAAGTGAGGAGGGAATGGAGATTTTACAGTATCCTTCCCCTGAAGTGAGGAGGGAATGGAGATTTTACAGTATCCTTCCCCTGGAGTGGGGAGGGAATGGAGATTTTACAGTATCCTTCCCTTGCCACGCCCACCAAGCCATGCCATGCCATGCCACGCCCACCAAGCCACACCCACAGAACCAGTAGTAAAAAATTTTGAAATCCACCACTGAACCCAAATCCCAAATAACAGGCAGTGTGCTAGTAGTTGATGCTTGAGATAATAGGTTAAAATAGTGCAACAGTGCAAAGCTAAGAACTGAGATGGCGATGAGTTATGATAAACAACTGAGCCCAACATTTCCGTTGCAAAGCAAGACTGTTGTTAAGCGAGTTTTGTCCCCTTTTACAACCTTCCTTGCCACATTTGTTAAGCGAATCACTGCTGTTGCTCAGTTAGTGACACGGTTCTTAAGCGAATTTAGCTTTCCCGCTGTCCATCAGAAGGTGGCAAAAGAGAATCGCACGACCCGCGAAACACTTCAACCGTCATAAGTACATGCCAGTTGCTAAGCATCCAAAATTTTGATCATATGGCCCTGGGAATGCGGCAATGGTTCTTAAGCATGAAAAATGATCCTAAGTCACTTTTTTCAGTGCCATTGCAACTTTGAATTGTCACTAAACGAATGGTTGTAACTTGAGGACTAGCTGTAGCCTGGAGATGAATTTTTTTTTAATTTTTTAATTTAATTTTAATTTTTTAATTTTTTTTTTGATTTATATGCCGCCCTTTTCCGGAGACTCAGGGCGGCTTACAATGTGCTCAGCAATAGCCTTCATCCTTTTGTATATTTATACAAAGTCAGCTTATTGCCCCCACAAACTGGGTCCTCAATTTACCTACCTTAGAAAGGATGGAAGGCTGAGTCAACCTTGAGCCTTGGCGAGATTCGAACCTGCAGTAATTGCAGGCAGCTGGTCTTAATAACCACCTTAATAACAGGGTGCCTTAGACCACTGTACTACCAAGGCTCTTGAAGTAGTAGTAATTGAAGAATGGCTGCAGGTTTCGGGTCTGGCTAGTCTAAAGGAAAGAAGAATTAGGGGCGACATGATAGCAGTATTCCAATATTTGAGGGCAGTGGTGAAATCCTCCGCCGGCCGCCACCGGTTTGCTGCCTGTGCATACGTGGTGCGTGCCAAATGCGCTGTCCACACCAAACACGTGCTTTTGGATTTCTTGCTCTTTTTTTTTTACTTTTTAAAGCATTTTTAAGTAAAAATGCTTTAAAAAGTTTTTTTTTAAAAAAACTTCCGATGATTGCATGTCCTCAGCTGATCTTCAGAACTTTTTTTTGTCGTTACTTTTTAAGCATTTTTTTTTACTACTAGGTCTCCAGAACCGGTAGTTAAAAATGCTTTAAAAAGTAAAAAAAAAAAAAGTTTCGATGATCGTGTGTCACTCAGCTGATCTTCAGAACTTTTGTTTTGTTTTGTTTTTAAGCATTTTTTTTACTACCGGTTCGGGGCGAACCGGCCCGAACCAGAAGAGATTGCATAACCATTTGTCTGAAATGGCATAAGGTCTCCTGTCTGAGCAGGGGGTTGGACTAGAAGACCTCCAAGGTCCCTTCCAACTCTGTTATTCTATATTCATTTCACCCCTGTTTGAGGGGCTGCCACAAAGAAGAGGAGGTCAAATTATTCTCCAAAGCACCAGAGGGCAGGACAAGAAACAATGGATGGAAACTCATCAAGGAGAGAAGTAACCTAGAACTAAGGAGGAATTATCTAAGAGTGAGGACAATTAACCAGTGGAACAGCTTGCCTCCAGAAATTGTGGGCACTCCATCACTGGATGCTTTTAAGAAGATTCTAGATCAGAGTTGTCAAACTCAAGACTGGGAGTCAGATTGGGCCTACGAGGTGCTTAGATTCGGCCTGTGGGGTTGCCATGGAAACAGCAAAGAACCGACCCGTGGTGCTTATGCCAGCAAAAACAGAGCTCAGGAGCGCCACAGGTGGCCCTCCCGAGCTCCATTTTTGCTGGCGGAGGGTTGCAGGAAGCCGTCACAGCCGAAAATTGAGCTCAGGAGCATCCGGGCACCGCACGCGCCCCCGACACGAATGATGTTGAGCTAGCCACACCCACCCTGACCATGCCCCCCCTGATCCCCACAAGGTTAAACACAACCGTTGATGCGGCCCTCAATGAAATCGAGCTTGATACCCCTGTTCTAGGTGGTCACTTATCTGAAATAGTATAGGTTTTCCCCTGCTTGAGCAGGAAGCTGGACTAGATGACCTCCAAGGTCCCTTCCATCTCATTCATTCCAAATGTAGTTTGACTGTATTAGCCCTGCTTTATTAGATACTCGGAAGCAAATCCAACCCATTTCAGTGGAATTTATTTACAACTCGGTACATCTAACCAGGTTATAATAAATAACTTTATTGTCATTCTACGTGTATACGCAGTATACCAGGCCTGGTGGCTCAGCAGACTGATAGCATTGTGATTAACACCAGCTGTCTGCAATTACTGTAAGTTCGAATCTCACCAGGCTCAAGGTTGACTCAGCCTTCCATCCTTTCTAAGGTCGGTAAATTGAGGACCCAGTTTGTGGGGGCAATAAGCTGACTTTGTATAAATATACAAAAAGTATGAAGGCTATTGCTTAACGCACTGTAAGCCGCCCTGAGTCTCTGGAGAAGGGCGGCATATAAATCAAAATTTAAATAAATAAATAAATAAATAAATACCCATACAACGAAATTCACACCCAAAGACCAGGTCCAACACACAGATCAATCCCCAAACACACTCCCACCCACCACAAATTCTCCACCCCTAAACCACCCAAACATCCACACCACAGACCAAGTAATGCTGTCCAACATCTCACTGATGGTGGCCCTTTAGTTCATTGTTGAGTGCAATTATAGCTCTGGGATAAAAACTATTCAGAAAACGTGTGGTCCGAGTTTTCATTGTTCTGTATCTTCTGCCAGAAGGCAACAGTCCAAAAAAATTGTAAGCAGAATGGGAAGAGTCTCTGAGAATGTTATGCAACTTTCTCAAACGACGAGATTTGAAGATGTCGTCCAGGGCTGGTAGCTGGAGCCCGATGATATTCTGGGCAGTTTTAATGATTCTCTGTAGAGCTTTTTTGTCCACTACAGAGCTGCTCCCATACCATGCAAGAATGCCGTATATCGGGACACTCTCAATGGTGCTGCAATAGTAGGAAAGAAGTAGATGCTGAGATAGGTTTATCTTCCTGAGCATTCTCAGGAAGTACAGCCTTTTTGGTGCCTTATCCTTCACATTTTGGAGTCATAGGGAAGAAAATGTCTTAACAGGATGATAGTGAAAGCTCTTGTAATTAATTAGGTCAGTAAAGCAACGACAGCTATGTCCTATTACCTTTTGCTAAAATCCACACGAAATATTAGAGGATGAACATCGAGGCTACCGCTCCATATTTACATTTATCAAGGACTCTTGGTAAATCTTCCTCGATTTAAAGGGCGACTCAATCTAAATTGGGTTTGAGGAAATACGATGAAAATTAAAACGAGCGCAGACGGTAGAGATGATCAATTTCTCGGTACCGAGATGTGATTATGTTTGAATTCCTCATTGTTTGTATTATTTATAGGCATGCCCATATTTGAGGGGACTGTAGACCAAAGTTATGCAAATCTACATTTTTTTTTTCGTTATAGAGAAGTGACCGGTCTTTCTATGAATAAAAATTTTGTTTCCTGTGCGCAGTGGGAAAATATATATATATATATACAGTCCTTGTTTTGATTCTTCTCTCTTGCAGGTAATTTGTTCTACAAGCTAGCTGGAGTTCATCACAGCAGGTAAGATGAATGACCTAAAAAAACAAAAACATTTATCACCCTTCCCAAAGCTTTCCAAAGGAAAGGAAATTCTAACACCACAGAGATATATAGGCAACCCTCAATTTACAATCATAAATAAGCCCAACATTTCAATTGCAACTTTTTTTGCCCCAGTTGTTAAGGGAATCTGGCTACCTCCATTGTCTTTGCTTGTTGCAGCCGGCTAAGGTGGAATTCCAATTTTTTTACTACCGGTTCTGTGGGCGTGGCTTGGTGGGTGTGGCAGGGGAAGGATATTGCAAAATCTCCATTCCCACCCCATTCCAGGGAGAAAGAATACTGCAAAATCTCCATGCCCACCCGACTCCTGGGGGATGGATACTGCAAAATCCCCATTCCCTCCCCTCTCCTGGGGAAGGATATTGCAAAATCTCCATTTCCACCCTACTCCTGGGGGAAGGATACTGCAAAATCTCCATTCCCACCCCACTCCTGGGGGAGGGATACTGCAAAATCTCCATTCCCACCCCACTCCTGGGGGAAGGATATTGCAGAATCTCCATTCCCACCCCACTCCTGGGGGAAGGATACTGCAAAGTCTCCATTCCCACCCCACTCCTGTGGGAAGAATACTGCAAAATCCCCATTCCCTCCCCACTCTGGGGCCAGCTAGAGGTGGTATTTGCCGGTTCGCCGAACTACTCAAAATTTCCGCTACCGGTTCTCCAGAACCTGCTGGATTTCACCCCTGCCAAGAAGGTTACAAATGGCGATTACATAACCCTGGCACAGTGCAACTGTCATAAATACATGCCAGTTGCCAAATTTTGACCAAGTTCCAACAGCACTGGAAAAGCGACTTATGACCAGTTTTCACACTTACTACATCTATTGTATCGCCTCCGTGGTCATGTGGTCAGTTGCCTGGCAACTGACAGGTAATTATGGTGGTTGCGGTTCTTGTGGTCATGCGATCCCCATTTCTGACCTTCCCAGCCAGTGTCCCGACAAGCAACGTCAAAGGGGGAAGCTGAATGGCTGTGGCAAAGAGGTCATAAAACGAGGCAGAACTCACTCAACGACTGCCTTGCTTAATGAATGACAGAAAGTTGGGGCGCAATTGTGGTCATAAGTCAAGGACTTACCTGTATTCACCTCCAGTGAGGGGACAATAAAACAGATTTTTATAGCCATCGTTTACAAGTTTGTGTTCCTGAATCTTCGAAAGCATTGTAGAAAGTTAGCACCCACCCCTCTCCTAGGAAAATGAGATATTTTAGGAAATATTAAAAGGGCAGAATATTTCCCCTAAAAGGGAGGCAGAAACTCAGTCCCCCCCCCACTTTGTCAATGGGCCATTAAGGCCTGAGCCAATCTATTCTATATAATAAAGATCTACCTCCTTCAAGCAGAACTCCAATAGGAATTGTCCAAAACCCCTTCATTACATAATCACCCAGCATGAGTCAACCAAGCCTGGGACACAGACAACCTACAAAGTTAACCCCTGCATGGCCCCATGGGAGTCTGACAACCAATCAGAACACAAGCTCAAATTCAAAGCCCAACAGAGGGTATAAACCTCTCTCTCTTTCTCTCTCTCACCCACGTGGTCCTGTCCACCATTAAACCACCTTTCCAAGAGCATAATATGAAGGTATGTGCTATTCAGCTGAATTGCTGGTTTTCCCAGCTACAATCCCGTCTTGAAAACAATGGAAAGCAGCCATTTTCGATACACCTGGCTTTCTGCTTCTCTCCCTAAGGTTTTGACTGCCTCTTTGTTCATTAAATCTACATCTAACATTTAAAATAATCAAAGTCAGCCCTTCAGCTTGCCTGCAAGCGTTACCTTGAACAGTTCAAGAAACTGAGGACCAGTTAGACTGTCTTAGATAATCACAAAGCCTTTGACATGAAAGCTGCTGCCTGGAAAATACAGGTGTCACAATTAGACACCTGTACGCCGTTGAACCTCAAATCATTCCGAACAGATTGGTACTCTCTTTGACAGGAAAATATGTCGGCGGAAAGGAGGTGATTAGAAACTTTTCTAATCTTTTCTCTCCAATTCTTTGGAGGGTGGTGGGGGGGAGAAAAGATGGATCATTTCTAATTTGGCCTAGGAGAGACAAGAGGTGGCAAAACCTTCCAGCAAACAAATACAGGTAGTTCTCGACTTACAACAGATCGTTGAGCTCGAGGTTGACTCAGCCTTCCATCCTTTCCGAGGTCGGTAAAACGAGGACCCAGATTGTTGGGGGAGCAAGATGCTGACTCTGAAAAAGAACAAAACTGCTCAGAGAGGTCTGTAAAGCACTGTGAAGCGGTATATAAGTGCTATTGCTATTGCTATTGCTCTTCCTTCCTTCCTTCCTTCCTTCCTTCCTTCCTTCCTTCCTTCCTTTCCTCCCTCCCTCCCTCCCTCCCTCCCTCCCAGTGGTTAGAATGCAGTATTACAGGCTAATTCTGCCGATTGCCAGCAGTTCGATCCTGATCGGCTCAAAGTTGACTCAGCCTTCCATCCTTCTGAGGTCGGTAAAATGAGGACCCAGATTGTTGGGGGTGTAAGATACTGACTCTGTAAAAACAAAACAAAACAAAACAAAACAAACCAACAAAAAAAAACCCCGGAACTGCTCAGAGAGAGCTGTAAAGCACTATGGAGAGATATATAAGTCTAACTGCCATTGCGACTGGTATTCTTAAGTAGACCTACCCTCTTGAGCGCTGATGCTTTGCTCTTTCCTCCCGAAGAGATGGACAGTTTATAATGCCACCAAATGCACAGGTCTAAGGATGACATTTTAGACGGTGCAGATATGATAGCTGTAACCCAGAGGGTGATCACTGAATGGAGGTGAAGTGAGGTCTTGCTGGATTGATGTCATGAAGCAATTCTGTGGAAAATGAAGCAGCTGAAAGGGAAAAATGAGTTAAGAAAGAAAAATACAAAGTCTGTAGAGATTCTCACTCATCCAGGTCATAGTTGTGCCAAAAGTGCTGTTTTCAAGAGGCAACTGGACTTTCTTGTTTTTTCTTTGAAGATGTTTCGCTTCTCATCCTTGAAGAAGCATCTTCAGCTCTGACTGGATGGTGGGGAATGGAAGGACACAGATAAACCCCCAAGGGGCCTCAACGACCCCCTAAAAAGGCTGCAAACGACCAGCTGCCTGCAAGGAACATAAATCCTTCCATTCCCCACCATCCAGTCAGAGCTGAAGAAGCTTCTTGGATGAGAAGCGAAACGTCTTCGAAGAAAAAACAAGAAAGTCCAGTTCCTTCTTGGGAAAAAAAAAGCACCTTTGGATACAATACAGGTCGTCCTTGATTTACCACCAAAGTTGGGACCAAAATTTCCATTGCCAAGCCGTATAACAATGAGGTCTACTTGCGTTATTTCTTGTGATCTGTTGCTTGAGCTGAACTACCTCAAAGGGTTGACAAATACTGTCAATTCACTTCCATTCTTTTCTTCCATGCTAATCAATAGCTTACCTACATAAAACCAGGGGTGGGCTGCTGGGGGTTCGCAGGGGTTCGGGAGAACCTCTAGCTAAGATTCTGTGCAGTTTGGAGAACCCCCAAATCCCACTCCTGGCTGGCCCCGCCCACCCTGCCCCTCCCAGGAGTCCCCATGTGGCCCGTTTTGGATGCAAGTGCAGGGTGCGCACGGAGGCTCGAGGAGGGTGGAAAAGGCCTAGCGAGCCTGGGGAGGCCGTTTTTGCCCTCCTAGAGGCTCGAGGAAAGCCTCCGGAGCCCGGGAAGGGCAAAAATGCCCTCCGCCATGGTGCGGGAGGCCAACTAGGCCACGCCCACTCTGCAACTGGGCAGAGAACCCCTTGCTAAAATTTTTGAAGCCCAGCCATGTATAAAACCCTAGCTCACGGCTGTCAAACTTGATTTCATTGAGGGCCGCATCATGGCTGTGTTTGACCTCGGGGGGCCACGGGGGGCATGGCCAGTTCGATGTCACTCGTGTTGGGGGTGCCTGTGGTGGCCTGAGTGATCTGCCAGCAAAAACGGGCTCCCAAGCTCCTTTCTCGGCTGCAACAGTTTCCTACAATTCTCTGCCACCCTCTGCCAGCAAAAACGGAGCTTGTGAGGGCCACGAGCTCCATTTTCCCTGGTAGAGGCACCGCGGGCTGGTCCTTCACTGTTTCTAGGGTGGCCCTGTGGGCCAGATCCAGGCGTGAAATCTAGCAGGTTCTGACAGGTTCTGGAGAACCAGTAGCGCAAATTTTGAGCAGTTCAGAGAACAGGCAAATACCACCTCTGGCTGGCCCCAGAGTGGGGTGGGAATGGAGATTTTGCAGTATCCTTCCCCTGGAATGGGGAGGGAATGGAGATTTTACAGTATCCTTTTCCTGGAGTGGGGTGGGAATGGAGATTTTGCAGTATCCTTCCCCTGGAGTGGGGAGGGAATGAAGATTTTACAGTATCCTTTCCCTGGAATGGGGAGGGAATGGAGATTTTACAGTATCCTTTTCCTGGAGTGGGGTGGGAATGGAGATTTTACAGCATCCTTCCCCTGGAGTGGGTTGGGAATGGAGATTTTGCAGTATCCTTCCCCTGGAGTAGGGTGGGAATGGAGATTCTGCAGTATCCTTCCCCTGGAGTGGGGAGGGAATGGAGATTTTGCAGTATCCTTCCCCTGGAGTGGGATTTCACCACGGGCCATATCTAAGCATCCCGCGGGATGGATCCGGCCCTCCGGCCTCGAGTTTGACATCCCTGCCCTAGTTGATAATATAGGTAAGGCTGTTGTGAAGCATTTACCTCAGAAGGATATGGTCTCATTGGACAACAGCCCTAAGCAAGCAATGGCTCTCCACACCACAGGATACAATTCAATTATTCCAATTAATATTCAGATTATAGGTTTTCCTTCAATTTGGCCACAACATTTACAGGTGCAAATAGCATCTGAATAATCCTCGCGTCTAAAGGATGCCTGACGGCACCAAAAGGAACTAATATTTCAGAAACTCTGGGCCACCATTCTTTTGCTAATCCGATTGCATTTTAATATTTGCAGTCACCCATCCGATATTCATTTACAGCCTGTAATGATGAGAAATGCTTCTTAATTCATTGAAACATTCTTAACCATGTTCTAGGGCATGGCCTTTTTGCCATCGCGTGCCAGAATGGGGGGGGGGTCGGAGGGGTCACGCGTGCACGTGCCCACACCCATAATTCTATACGTCCCACCCCCGCGCATGCGCGCATGACCCCCCTCCCCCCGCTTCTGGCACGCAATGGCCCGGTAGCCCCATTTTTCTTTCTAACCTGGCTCCAGGGCCTCTCTAGGCATCTGGGGAGGGCGAAAACAGCCTTCCCCATCCCCCCGGAGGCCGAAAATGGCCCGTTTAACAACTTCTAGTGGGACTGGAAGGCCCGTTTTTTGCTGTCCACAGCCTCCAGGGCCCCTCTAGGAGTCTGGGGAGGGCAAAAATGGCCTTCCCCTCCCCACCCCCCACCCCCGGAGATCCTCCAGAGGCCAAAGACGGACTGTTTGACAACTTCTGGCCCCACCAGAAGTTGTCAAACGGGCCGTTTTCAGCCTCCGGGAGACCTCTGGGGGGGGGAAGGCTGTTTTCACCCTCCCCAGAGTCCTAGAGAGGCCCTGGAGCCAGGTGAGAAAGAAAAACGGGCCTTCCCCTCCCCCCAGGCCCTCTGGAGGCAGGAAACAACCTGCTTTCCTACTCCTGGTGGGCCCAGAAGACCCAAAAATCAGCTGGCGGAGCTGAACTCTTGTGCCCACTGATATGGCTACGCGTGCCACCTGTGGCACGTATGCCATAGGTTCGCCATCACGGTTCTAGGGGCTTTCCCCCCAACCCTCCAGTTAAAGCAGGTGGTGCAGGAAAGGTAGAAATCTAACAGCAATTAGGATAACGGCTTTAAATTTTCAGCAAACAGCAGTCTCCATAAAAAAGCAGCAGTAGAAGAGCGATCACCAAACAATAAAGCAGCAAGCAATTGCAGGCAGAATGAGCGTGCAGTGTACGGCAGCTATTATAAATCCAAGGGAATGAACACATTTAAACAAGGTGCCTAAAACAGGCATCAAAGAATTACGAGCAGAGCAGGGATTCTATCTCACATAATTACTAATTTTCAATCAATTAAGCTCCAAAGGCAGGAGTAATCTCGAGCGGGATTATAAATAAAGATTTCAGTAAAAAGGTGCATGTGTCCATGAGCATGTGTCTATAAGAGCTTTGGTAGTATAGTGGACTAAAGCACTGTTATTAACATCTGCTGCTTGCAATTACTGCAAGTTCAAATCTCACCAGGTTGACTCAGCCTTCCATCCTTTCAAAGGTAGGTAAAATGAGGACCCAGATTGTGGGGGCAATAAGCTGACTTTGTATAAATATACAAAAGGATGAAGGCTATTGCTTAACGCATTGTAAGCCGCCCTGAGTCTCCGGAGAAGGGCGGCATATAAATTAAAGCAAAAAAAAAAAAAAAAAGCAGACAGTTCCTGCAATTCCTGCTTCTTTATAACTTTGCCTTATTTGGAATGTGATGGTCATCTCAATTTTTTGGGGTGTGTGCTTCTTGCTCTAAGCCATGACATGTTTAATCATAGTTTGTTGACTAAGCTATAGGGAAGGTAGTTAAGACCAAAATCTAGGACAGGAACTATAAATTGACTATGGCTTCAGCATATAAACTACAAGCCATCATTTTCTGTTGTGTACTAATGGGGATTGCTTGTATGAGAGATGGTGGATTTTTCCCCTTTCAAGAGCTTATGGCCTTTTGATTTGCTTAGTCAGTCCTCCAGCCTCATTTATGTCATTAAAAGCATCATAAAATTTATTATTTACAATACACAACTCTCAATTTTAAATATCAGCTGCTGGTTTTACCTTCTGACTAAAGGAACGCTAGTTGTGGTTTATAACCCATGGTTTATGGCGTAGCAGGTTGCAAAAGTCTAGTCAATTGTGGCTTAATTCACGAACTACCTTTAAGCCATACTTAGCATAATGTGCACGTTCAGTATTCTCCATTTCAGGTTGCTAAGCAAGCAAGAAATAAATCTTCTTTACGGGTGTTTCAGTGCGGGGAAAAAACGTGTTGTGGTAATAATAGGCAGATCAAACTGTTTTAAAAAGCAATGGATTTGATTTAAAAAGTTAGCAATAGTCTTTATGTCCCTGTTTGGGTGGAGATGAGACCAGGGGTGAAATCCAGTAGGTTCTGACAGGTTCTGGAGAACTGGTAGAGCAAATTTTGAGTAGTTCGGAGAACCGTCAAATATCACCTCTGGCTGGCCCCGGAGTGGGGTGGGAATGGAGATTTTGCAGCATCCTTCCCCTGGAGTGGGGTGGGAATGGGGATTTTGCAGCATCCTTCCCCTGGAGTGGGGTGGGAATGGGGATTTTGCAGTATCCTTCCCCCAGGAGTGGGGTGGGAATGGAGATTTTGCAATATCCTTTCCCCAAGAATGGGGTGGGAATGGAGATTTTGCAGTATCCTTCTCCATCCACGCCCACCAAGCCACACCCACCAAGCCACGCCCACAGAACCGGTAGTAAAAAAAAAAATTGAATTTCACCACTGGATGAGAGCCTATTGTGCGGAAAACTATCTTGCCGTGCATTTAGGCTGGCTGTAGTAAAATGTCATTCTCCCAGGCAGCAAAGAGTGGGCTAGCACATCGTTCCAGACAACTGGATAAAAACTGACTGATAAAAGAATTAAATCGTGAAATCCCAGAGCTTAAAAAAAGGACACAGCCGCAGGCTGCACATGTCAGTTCTTCGGTGCCAACTCTTTGATCTGTGCTATTTTTATCACATGCTATAAGATGTGTTGACTCTTTAGATGGCTTCTTAATTGAAACACTAACTCTAAATTCAGACAGCTTGCTCTGCGGTGCTGGAACCAGCATCTCAATGAAGCCAAGATTACACAGTGGCGAGTTTTGCAGCAATTCTATGTTCCCTTAGAGGGGAAAAAAAAAACCCTTAAATGTACCTTCAGCGCCTTTGGCCAAGGTAGCGATCATCAAGGTCTCCGTTCAGAGGCATTATAGCAATAGCAATAGCCCTCAGACTTATGTACCACTTCACAGTAATTTACAGCCCTCTCTAACTGGTTTAAGAGTCGGCATCTTGCCCTCCTCATTTTATAGACCTCGGAATGGTGGAAGGCTGAGTCAACCTTGAGCCACGTCAGGATCGAACTCCGGGCTATGGGCAGAGTTAGCCTGCAATGGTGCATTCTAATCCCTGCACCACCACGGCCCTCCCTCCCTAGCTCCTTCCTTCCTTCCTTCCTCCCTCCCTCCTCAGCTCCTTCCTTCCTTCCTTCCTTCCTCCCTTCCTCCCCAGCTCCTTCCTCCCTTCTTCCCTCCCTCCCTCCCCAGCTCCTTCCTTCCTTCTTTCCTCCCTCCCCAGCTCCTTCCTTCCTTCCTTCTTCCCTCCCTCCCTGCTCAGCTCCTCCTTCCCTCCCCAGCTTGCTCCTTCCTTCTTCTCTCCCTCCCCAGCTCCTTCCTTCCTTTCTTCTTCCCTCCCTCCCTCCCCAGCTCCTCCTTCCCTCCCCAGCTCGCTCCTTCCTTCTTTCCTCCCTCCCCAGCTCCTTCCTTCTTTCCTCCCTCCCGAGCTCCTCCTTCCCTCCCCAGCTTGCTCCTTCCTTCTTCCCTCCCTCCCCAGCTCCTTCCTTCCTTCCTTCTTCCCTCCCCAGCTCTCCTTCCTTCCTTCCTCCTTCCTTCCTTCCCACTTAGCAATAGCCCTTAGACTTCTATACTGCTTCACAGTGCTTCACAGCCCTCTCTGAGCCCTCTCTAAAATGATAGAGAATAATCTGGTATCTGACCATCTTGTCCTTCAACGAATTGTGCTGCCTTTTCCCTGACCTTGAACTTCTCCTTAAACTTTGCTTTGTACCACAGAAGTCAAAACTATCCTTTAGAGCAGGGGTCTCGAACCTTGGCAACTTTACGACTTGTGGACTTCAACTCCCAGAATTACTCAGTCAGCAGGTTGGAGACCCCTGCTTTAGAGTTAAGGACAGCTATAAACCCTTCCAAGTCTCTGTGATATAATTAATTTCTGCTAAAATAAATAAAAATAAACCGTGGATGGCATTGGAAATGTTGGCCTTCCTGGAGGACCCTCTCCAAGTACTCTACAAGACCTCAACTTATGATCATAATCGAGCTGGAATTATGGTTGAAGTCATGTTGGTCATTAAATTAGTCACCCTGTGATCACAGCTGATAACAGATTAATAGAGTTGGAAGGGACCTTGTAGGTCATCTAGTCCAATCCCCCACCCAAGCAGGAGACCCTACACCATTTCTGACAGATGGCAGTCCAGTCTCTTCTTGAAAGCTTCCAGTGATGAAGCTCCCACAACTTCCGAAGGCAACTTCTGTTCAATGGGTTGATTGTACTCAATGTCAGAAAAGTTCTCCTTATTTCCAGGTTGAATCTCTCCTTGGTCAGTTTCCATCCATTATTCCTTGTCTGGCCTTCGGGGGCTTTGGAAAAGAGCTTGAGCCCCTGGTCTCTGTGGCAGCCCCTCAAATATTGGAAGACTGTAATCATGTCTCCCTTGGTCCTTCTCTTCACTAGACTACCCATGCCCAGTTCCTGCAACCGTTCATTGTATGTTTTAGCCTCCAGTCCCCTAATTGTTGTGGCCCATCAGCAGCCAGCAGAGCTGGCAGCAGTGTCAGACAGTGAGGAGGTTGGGGAGGAATTTAGGCCAGTCCTGGGGGCTGGGGAAAGCTTGGATGAGGGCTCTGCATCTGAGGCAGAGAGGGAGCCAGACAGCAGTTAGACAGAGGAACAGCTGGAGCCTGTTCCCAGTGTGCGCATGCGCAGAGCTGCCAGAAGACAATTAAGAAAGCAGGGTCAACTTGGGAGTAAAGCCATACATTGGAGTTGACTGGCCCCTCTCATAGAAAACAAAAGAGGAGCAAACGGGGAGTGGGCTTTTGCAGGAAGCAATGCGTTCGTTCATTCGTTCGTTTCAAGAGTGGGAAGATCTGTCTGTGCATCCCAGAGACTCTGTGCCAAGTTTTGCCTTGCACTGCATTTGGAAACTAGTTACCTGGCAGCTTTCCAAGATAAGGTCTGTGTTGATAAATATTCCTCTGAAAGACTGTTTGGACAGGCCTTGCTGACTGTGAATGAAAGTAATTCACAAAGTAAAAGGGGTTTTGCCAGGACGAAGACTCTGCTTGCTGCTTTTTAAGGAAGCCTAGGAAGATTAGGAACACTAATCATCCTGGTTGCTCTCCTCTGCACTCTTTCTAGAGTCTCTGTCAGATATTGCCTGCATATGATGCACCAGAGACTAGAAGGGGTTTAAGTCTTTACAGATCTTGCCATATTGATATACGTTATAAAAATGTGAGAGACCTAGTTAAAAAGGGTTTTGTTGAATTTGTTCATTGCGATACCAAGGACCAAATTGCCGATTTCTTAACTAAACCTGTATCTTGTGAAATACATTGGAACCACTGCAAATCAGTTGGACTGTACTTATAATTTATTTTTTCTTATATTTGTGTTTATTATTATTTTTGAACACTGTTCCATCACACTTGGCAATAGAAGGGGTCTGTCAGATATTGCCTGCATATGATGCACCAGAGACTAGAAGGGGTTAAGTCTTTACAGACATCACATGTGACTACATCAGCCAATGAACTCTCTTATTGGACTCTTACCTAGAAACCACTTGGATATCTTCCCTTTTTTTTCTCTTTCTCTCATCTATCTCTCAGCGAGACAACACGTGAACTTCTCTCTCCTCTCAACATCTGAGTAGTTAGGGTAAAAAATGTAACAGGACACCCTGTTCATTATCGTATACATGTATATATTTGTAAATAATAAAAGCAACCTTTTGAACCTGAAGCTGTATTGACCAAATAACTTCCTCATAGAACCAAATGAGCACGACCATCAATATATATCTGATAGTCTCAACATCTTTTTTTATAGTCTGGTGACCAAAACTGGATGCAGTATTCTAGGTGTGGTCTTACTAAGGCTTTACAGAGTGGTATTAGTACCTCCCTTGATCTTGATATTACGGCAGGAAGAATTCTTAAGCAACCAACTTCTGCGTTTCTCAGGTGTGCAACAGTCCACCATTTCATGACACACTGCTGATCACAAAGCAGTTGCGAGTTGAAAACAAATGGATTACAATCCTTAGTTTCGGGAGATTTAAGGCTGGAGTTTAGCCCATTATAGGGTTTAAAATGTCACAACCTGTAAAATGGGCATCCTCAATTAAGCCTGAGAATGACGGGAAAGACTTTCAAGTTCACAGCTTGGGCAGCTCATCTTTCATCAATTCATTTTTAATTCATTCTTAGGATTAATGATTCCACATTCGAACGGGAAGCTGGTTTCTGCTGGTTGGTTGATTTTTTTTTTTTTTACCATGTTATACCACCGTTTTTCAGCGAGACGGATCGTTAAGTAGTTCTTGTGAGTAGAGATTAAAACAGCCTGTAGCAAAAAATAAAGCGAAGAACAAAATAGATCCACTGCATCCAGTTTAATGTTCTGGACAAGGGAAAATATGAGTGTGTATATACAGTGTGTGTGTGTGTGTGTGTGTACAGTTAATATCTCGGGTTTCTTCCCGTGTAATGGCAAACATATCCCTAAAAGGGTAGAAGCGACGTTTCGACAAAATCACATTTGTCATCTTCTGGCTGAAGTTCTTGGTTTGGTTCTTATGGGCAAACTGTTTTTATGGGCAAACACAGTTTGCCCATAAGAACCAAACCAAGAACTTCAGCCAGAAGATGACAAATGTGTTTTTGTCAAAGCGTCGCTGCTACCCTTCTAGGGATATGTTTGCCATTACACGGGAAGAAACCCGAGATATTAACTGTACACACATATATACCCGTGAAAACTTATACATACATACATACATAATACATACATACACACACACACACACACACACACACACACACACACACACACACACACACACACACACATATATATATATATATATATATATATATATATATATATATATATATATATATATATATATATTTGTTTTCTCAGGTTTTCGCGGGTGTTTGTATGTAGGTCTTTGGTTATTCGGGTCTTCTCCCACGTAAAATTGGAAGTGTCTTGGCGACGTTTCGACGAAGTCTCATTCGTCATCTTCAGGCTGGTGTTCTCGGCTTCGTGCTTCCAGGAGCTCGTCATCTTCCAGGAGATGACGAATGAGACTTCGTCGAAACGTCGCCAAGACACTTCCAATTTTACGTGGGAGAAGACCCGAATAACCAAAGACCTACATATATATATATATGTGTGTGTGTGTGTGTGTGTGTGTGTGTATGTGTGTGTGTGTGTGTGTACGTGTACACAGTTAATATTTCGGGTTTCTTCCCGTGTAATTGTGAACATATCCCTAAAAGGGTAGAAGCGACGTTTCGACAGAATCTCATCTGCCATCATCAGGCTTATGTGAGGGGTCTTTTGCATATATATATGTATATGTATATGTATATGTATATGTATATGTATATGTATATGTATATGTATATGTATATGTATATGTAATATGTATGTATTTCTCTTTAGCCAGGTTCTACCTACGTAAACCAAGATATTATGCAGCCCTGGCTTACGTAGGTAGAACCTGGCTAAAGAGAAATACACATAAAACCTACGAAAAAGAAAGAAAAACATACATATATATATACCTATCTATTACACACACACACACACACACACACACACACACATGTATGTATGTATGTGTTGTGTGTGTGTGTAATAAAACATGAATTTCAAATGTGATGGAAGTTTGTATTATTTCCTCGGCCCTTGAGATATCACCGCTGCGTTCTTTTGTCATTTCTTTTAATGTTATTCCTGCTTTCAAAAACATCACCCTCTCCTTTGAGAAATGGCTGAACCGAGAAGCAGATTATGAATCCCGAAATAAATGGATAAACAAATAAAAGTGATGTTGCCCAATATTGAAACTGTGTAAAGCCTGAACTCTGGAAGTGTAACAGTTGTTATTAAATGTCTTTTGCAATTATAACCTTAATCCTTTTCAGCCAGGGACTGAATTCTGGGTGTAAAACAGGGGTGAAATCCAGCAGGTTCTAACAGGTTCTGGAGAACCGGTAGCGGAAATTTTGAGTAGTTCAGAGAACTGACAAATACCACCTAGGCTAGCCCCAGAGTGGGGTGGGAATGGAGATTTTGCAGTATCCTTCCCCCAGGAGTGGGGAGGGAATGGGGATTTTGCAGTATCCTTCCCTGGAGTGGGATGGGAATGGGGATTTTGCAGTATCCTTCCCCTGCCACGGCCATCAAGCCACACCCACAAACCAATAGCAAAAAAATTTGGATTTCACCACTGGTGTAAACGCACTGTGCAAAAGGATTTCGTTCTATGGATATACTGTGTATATACGTACAATGACAATAATCTTTATGTAAAAAGGAGGAGATTGAGACTTCTGCTACCCTTTCTAACTACAGGCAGTCCTCGATTTCCAACAGTTCATTTAAAGTATTTAACTGCATGCGCAGCCGGTCCCCGCCATTTTCTCTGGTTAGGGTTAGGGAGACAGAGCTGGAAATCAGGTAAGACGGCAAGAGGAGCCCCATCTTGCTCCACGCGCCCCAAAATAATACGACCTCCCTGAAAATAAGGCCAAGCGCTTATTTCGGAGTTCAAAAAATATAAGACAGGGTCTTATTTTCGGGAAAAACACGGTACCTATTCCCACTCTATTCTACTCTTTTTCTTTTCTTTTCTTTTCTCTTCTCTCTCCTGTTCTATTCTATTCTATTCTATTCTATTCTGTCCTCTATTTTCTTTTTCTTCTCTTCTCTTCTCCTCTATTTTCTTTTCTCCTCTCCTCTCCTATTCTATTTCTTCTACTCTACTCTACTCTATTTCTTTTCTTTCTCCTGTTCTATTCTATTCTATTCTATTCTATTCTATTCTATTCTATTCTATTCTATTCTATTCTATTCTATTCTATTCTATTCTTCTACTCTACTCACTATTCTCTCTCTCTTTTTTTTTATTTATATGCCGCCCTTCTCCAGAGACTCAGGGGGCTTACAATGCGTTAAGCAATAGCCTTCATCCTTTTGTATATTTATACAAAGTCAGCTTATGCCCCCACAATCCGGGTCCTCATTTTACCTACCTTAGAAAGGATGGAAGGCTGAGTCAACCTTGAGCCTGGGCGAGATTTGAATTTACAGTAATTGCAGGCAGCTGATGTTAATAACAGTGCTTTAGTCTGCTGCACCACCAGGGCTCTCCTCTTCTCTTCTCCTATTCTATTCTTCTACTCTACTATTTTCTTTTCTCCTCTCCTCTCTCTTCTCCTATTCTATTCTATTCTTCTACTCTACTCTCTATTTTATCTTCTCTTCTCTTCTCCTATTCTATTCTATTCTATTCTTCTACTCATTTTCCTTTCTCCTCCTCTCCTCTCTCCTATTCTATTCTTTTCTTCTACTCTACTCTATTTTCTCCTATTCTATTCTATCTATTCTATTCTATTCTATTCTATTCTATTCTATTCTATTCTATTCTATTCTATTCTATTCTATTCTATTCTGACACACACAAGATTATCCTAATGAACCCATTAAATCAGAGGCATTGTACGGATGCTTCCTGTGACTCACCCCAAGATCCTACACCCGACCTGTCTTTCCGTTTCCTTTTCTTGAACAGACAAACTCTCTACACTGTGCAAACTGATGCATAATTATCCAGATGGGAGACGCTTTGGCTAGACCATAAACCACAGACCAGTCAAACACGTGTGAGACGAACGCTCTACAAACTCAACCTGATTAGCTTATGATTCAGAGGCTGAACACGGCCTCCGAGGCTTGTAAACCATGTTATTAACAGTTATCTTGCATACATTCGCTCACCCGTAGTTTATTCAATGAATTCCGATGAAAAGAAACCATATCCTGAATTAATATTTACCTTTCACTCTCATTGTTGATTCCCGGGATAATCCAGGATATTGGTGATGTGAACCTTCCCATCTGTCCAAAGTGTGTTGCTAATAACAGGTGTTGTGCAGAAGTCACAATGAAGTTGGGTGTGTTGTGTTGTTGGCGTGATGACACAGCGCTGTGATGTCGCAGGCTCCCAACTAATGGTGGTTATATAATCCGAGTCAGGATTTTAACCGACTGGTTGAGTGGCAAATGATTTCTTCCTTTCTTTCTTTTTTTTATAAATTTTTTATTGGGTAAAAAGAAAAAACAAACAAATATAAATACAACAATACAACAATACATAACGAGTAAACATAAATCGAGTCTTACGACTCTTTTTGTTTGAATACTCACATTGGTAAACTATATTCATATTCTTATCTATATCTCTACACATTTACGAGCAAAATAGCATCTTAAACTCTCTCTTTAATTTACTATTTTTCTTAATTGGTACTCAATCTTTATCTGTATATTTTATCTCCTTTTTTGTGTCCCTATTTTTATTTTCCTTTCTTTTTCTCCAACCAGTCATACCATTTTTGCCATACTAGGTAATAATCTGTTTCTTCTTCTTTTTCTTGTATTTCTTTCGTAAGTTTGTCCATTTCTGCGCATTCCGTAATTTTAATGATTATTTTATCTTCTGTTGGTGTATCTTCATGTTTCCAACTCTGGGCAAAAACTATCCAATGTTGTTACATCCGTGGCAACTGCATCTGAGCTTCAGCTAAATTCAAATTAACCATGAATGATGGTCAGAAGAACTCATTAGATTTGTATTTCAGATCAAGCCACATCAAGTGGTTGCTAATAACAGGTGTTGGGTAGAAGTCCTGATGAAGTTGGGCGTGTTGGGTTGTTGGTATGATGACACAGCGCTGTGATGTTGCAGCTCCCAAATGATGGTGGTTATATAATCCGATTCAGAATTTTGACCGACAGTGGCAATTTTTTTTTTTATCCAGTGGCAACTGCATCTGAGCTTCAGCTAAGTGCAGTTTAAACCATGAATGATGGCCAGAACTCATTAGGTTCATATTTCACATCAAGCCAGGAATCAAATAATAATAAAAAAGAATGTATGAGCATTCAAATCAGTGTTGATTCCTAGTGATTGCCTGGACCAATCCCTGCAGCTTTTCTTGGCAAGGTTTTTGAGAAATGGTTTGCCATTGCCCTCCTTCCTAGGCCTGAGGAAGGAACTTCTTCTGACAAGCAAGTCAATGGGGAAAGCCAGATTTGCTTAATGACCAGGTGATTCATTTAATAACTTCAGTGATTTGCTTAACGACCATGGCAAAAAAAAAAGACAAAAATTGGGTACGACTCACTTAAGAACCACCCTTGCTTGGCAGTGGGACTTCTGTTCCCGGTTGCCATAAATCCAGGACTACCTGTATTTTACAGAGAGGACCACTGCACACAACATGTGAGACTGCAGTACAGAGTTGTCATCCAAAGAAGATGGAATTGTGGCCTCAGGGAGGTTCATTCCTTCCACTTCTAGTGGAGACATCCTTTCCCAAGGTCACTCTCTGCTCGAGTCTAGCATTTTGCACAAATGTGTATTGGCAACACATTGTGACAGTATGAAACAGTTGCATTCAGCTGAACTGCAACGTTGTCTTTTCAGGGTTTGTAAACTCAAGCAAAGCAACATTTTTAGCAGGACTACCAGATTCTTAGGGACTACCGTGGCTTAGGGACATGGTGGTTCAGTGGTTAAGACGCTGAGCTTGTCGATCGAAAGGTCAGCAGTTCAGCGGTTCGAATCCCTAGCGCCGTGTAATGGGGTGAGCTCCCGTGACTTGTCCCAGCTTCTGCCAACCTAGCAGTTCGAAAGCAGGTAAAAAATGCAAGTAGAAAAATAGGGACCACCTTTGGTGGTAAGGGAACAGCGTTCCGTGCGCCTTTGGCGTTGAGTCCACATGACCACGGAGACGTGTCCAGCATGCTTTCTGTCCCTGTCCTAATGTTTCCTCTAGTTGTATCTATTTAATGCATCCAATCCATGTTTATACATTACCTAATATGTTCTTGATATTATATATATATATATATATACACACATACATACATACATATACATATGTATGTATGTATGTGTATATCTATCTATCTATCTATCTATCTATCTATCTATCTATCTATCTATCTATCTATCATCTATCTATCTATCTTTAGCCAGGTTCTTCCTACGTAAACCAAGATTTTTATGCAGCCTTAATTCAGTGAAATCACAACCCACTAGTTTCTAGGCTTTTTTCAGGCAGCCAGCAAGCACCCTGCTGCCCATTGGGAGAATAAGGAGACTAAGATAGATCTATTTCGGACTTATTAGTCCTCATCAGGCTGCATAAAAATCTTGGTTTACGTAGGAAGAACCTGGCTAAAGAGAAATACACATAAAGGCCAACGAAAAGAAAACACACACACACACACACATATATGATAGGTGTTAGATAGATAGATATTAGATAGATAGGTGGGTAGGTAGGTAGATAGATCTATGTATATGAGAGATGAGATAGACATAATAGATTACATAAATGAGAGAGAGAGAGAGATCTATATATATATTAGATAGATAGATAGAAAGAAAGATAGAAAGGTAGATATAGATAGAAAGGTAGATAGATAGAAAGATAGATAGATAGATAGAAAGAAAGGTAGACAGATAGATAGAAAGGTAGATAGATAGATAGAAAGATAGAAAGAAAGAAAGGTAGATAGATAGATAGAAAGAAAGAAAGGTAGATAGATAGATAGAAAGATAGATAGATAGGTAGAAAGGTAGATAGATAGATAGATAGAAAGAAAGGTAGATAGATAGAAAGGTAGGTAGATAGGAAGAAAGGTAGATAGATAGATAGATAGATAGATAGATAGATAGATAGATAGATAGAAAGAAAGAAAGAAAGGTAGATAGATAGATAGATAGAAAGAAAGGTAGATAGATAGAGATAGAAAGAAAGAAAGGTAGATAGATAGATAGAAAGAAAGAAAGGTAGAAAGAAAGAAAGAAAGGTAGATAATAGATAAAAGAAAGAAAGGTAGAAAGAAAGAAAGAAAGGTAGATAGATAGATAGATAGCCACCACCAGGCAGTCAAGAAAGCGAAAAGGCAATCCCCCCACCCCCCCCCCATTCTTCCCTGGGAAGCTTCTTCCTTGTTTGCTTAGCTTCTTCGGACAAAGTTCCCAATCCCAAAGGGCGATTTCTACCCTGCAGACTCCTCCGAGGACGGCTTTTGAAAACGGCGCGGGCTTCCTTTTTTTCTTTCTTTCTTTTTGGCACCCTTTCTCCGTCCGGCCTGCACCGTATCATTAGCCCGATTGCAACCTCCCGAAGGCCTCCCCCGGGTCGACAAGGTGCCTGCGTTGAAAAACCCATTAAAAAACCCATTAAAAAAAAAAAAAGAAAAGGAAGGAAGGAAAGGAAAGGAAACTGGCTCAACAGGCCGCGCCGAAACTCTCGGCGGCTCCTGCCTGCTCCCTTTCCTGCCTCCCCCACCCGCGTTGAGAGGCGGCGGCGGCTGCGGCGGCACGCGCGGTCCGGACCGCCCCGCTCTCCTCCCTCCCTCCCTCCCGGCTCCGCTGCCTTTGAATCCCCCCCTTCTCCAAAGGCAGGACCGGGAAAGACAAGAGGTGGGGATGCTGCAAGCAAGCTTCCCCCAGTCCCACCGCAGGGATGGGGTGGGGTTGGACTAGATGACCTCCAAGGTCCCCTTCCCACACTCTGTTACTGGTAAAGTGGTACCCGAGCCCCTCGGAGCGCAGTTTCTCCCTCCCGCCCCCTCCCCGGAGAAGCCCCGGAGCGATTCCGAGCCTTCCCACGTGGCTGCTCCTGTTGCTGCTGCAGCTGCTGGCCGCCCGCTTCCCTCCCCTTCTCTCCCTACTCTCTCCCCTCCCCGCTTCGGGAAGGGGGAAGGGCTTGGCGTGGGGGAGGGAGGGGCCTGCGCTTCCCTTCCCGCGAAGAGCTTCAGGAGGAGGAGGAGGAGGAGAGGAGGAGGAGGAGGTGGAGGCGCCTTTGCAAGGATGAATCCTCGGCCGGTGGAAGGAGCTGCCGCCGCCGCCGTCGTTGCGCTGCGGTGCTCCGTTTGCATCCCCGGGTAAGGTCTCTGCGGTGCCTCGCGCTCCCGGCGCCGGTTTTTTTTGGGGGGGGGGGGGAACGAGGGCAAGGCAATGGCAGGCTGGTTGGTCGGTTGGTCAGTTGATTGATTATTTGATTGATTGGCTCAGGGTTGAATGCAGGGTGCCTCCTCCTCCTCTTCGTCCTCCTTCCTTGAGTAAAGACTCCTCTTCTTGGAGGGGGAGAATCCCTTTTCCACCACCACTACTACTACTACTACTACTACTACTACTGCTACTGCTACTGCTACTGCTACTGCTACTTCTTCTTCTCCTTCTCCTTCTCCTTCTTTTCTTCTTCTTCTTTTCTTCTTCTTCTCCTTCTTCTTTTCTTCTTCTTCTTCTTCTTCCTCTCCTTCTCCTTCTCCTTCTTCCTCTCCTTCTCCTTCTCCTTCTCCTTCTCCTTCTCCTCCTCCTTTCTCTCTCTCTCTCTCTCTCCTCCTTCTTCCCTGAGACCCGCTCTTTACTTGCTCAGAGGCACTGTCGCCCCAGCATCTCTGACCAACTTAGAGAAAACTTTCCTGATTAAATGTCTATGGAGATTCTCAGTCATCCAAGGTCCTGGTTATTTGACAAAGAAGTCCAGTTGTCTCTTGGAAAAAGCACCTGACAACTTGGAGCATATGCATCAAAGACAAATTCCTTGTGTGTCCAAACACACTTGGCCAAGAAAGCTATTCGATTCGATTCGATTCGATTCGATTCGATTCGATTCGATTCGATTCCATTCCATTCCATTCCATTCCATTCCATTCCATGGGTTCTCCTGACTAAAACACACTCTCTCTCCCTCTCCCTCTCTCCCCCTCCCTCCCTCTCTTCCCCCCTCCCTCCCTCCCTCCCTCTCTCTTCCCCTCTTCCGGCCTTTTCCAGGACTTGGTTTAAGATGTGCTGGCTTGTACTGGATCTCCATTCTCTGCCTGCCCAGGTATAATGGACTGCGGGGCCCATAACCCCCCATCTTTTGCCCAAAGGGGCAGGGAGTTATGGGCACCGAAGTTTCCCCTGGGGGTGGGTGGGTGAAGGAGCTGGGTTGGCTAAAGGTGCTTTTCAGTTAAGCATGCCCCATGGATGTCCTGCCAGATGTTGAGTGTCTGCCCTGATTTCTTCTAGAGCAGGGCTTGTCCAACTCTGGCAAAACTTTTTAAAACTTTGTGGACTTCAACTCCCGGAACTCACCAGCCAGCATTCTGGGAGTTGAAGTCCAACAGACCTTAAAAGTCGGCCAAAGTTGGACAGCCTTGTTCTCATCTACATAGAGTGAGAATCAAAGTTTGTTCTGGGACTCGTGTTTGATCCGCTGGCTAGATGGGGGTGAATTTGTGACTCTTGCCAAGGATGTTGGGAGTCTCTTTCTCCCTTGTTTTAGCAGGCTCTCAGGTTTTTGGCTCCCATCCAGCCAAAGGGAAAAAGGTCAGATCCCATCTGATGGGAGGAAGCAGAGGGTTGCTAATGTGATGTGCCTCCAGCCCACATCCCTGTCCTTGAGCAGAGGGTGAATTCACATGATGCTCTGCTGTGGGGGCTGCTGGCTTTTAGCTTAAACAGCATGTTTTGTGCTTTGTCAATTGCGTTGCTGGGAATCTGGCCAGTTGTGTGTTGTCAGTAAGCCCTATTTATGCCACGGCTTTAAAGAAAGTGTGCAGACCTAATTCAGTCGAATGATAGATTGGGATGGGGTTCCTTTTTTTTTTTTTTTCGTTTTCTGCCTGCCGGTGAGTTCTCTTAACCACGACAAGGGTACCTTCAAAGGTGTTCTACATGATGTATCTTGCACTGCATTCATGTAACTGAGATGTTGATTAATAAAAATTCCCTGAACCTGCCGGTGTGAATTTATCGGCTGGCTGTCGGCATTTTTAAACGCGAGATTCTCACAGCAATAAACGAACCAGAGCTCTGGATTATATGAGAGATACTAAACGGTTGGCGTTGTAAATTGTAATGCTAGTTGTACTATATTTAAAAGTCATTTAATTTTTTTTAAAATTGCTATTATCCTGGATATTTTAGAGATTATAGAACTGTGGATGTCTGACTGCATTGCTTCTTTAGATGCCTCATAAGAGTTAAATTTATATTTACCGACAAAGAAATAAAGGGAGACTAGTATAGATCTATTTCAAGCTATTTAGCTCTCGTCAGCTAGCCATACACTTCTGGGATTCGAACCTGGGCTGCTTGCATATTAGGTATATGTATTAACGTCTAAGCCATAGGCTCTCCTAGCTTTGTCGGCTATAAGGTAAAGGTAAAGGTTTCCCTTGCGCATATGTGCTACTTGTTCCCGACTCTAGGGGGCAGTGCTGATCTCTGTTTCAAAGCCGAAGAGCCAGCGCTATCCGTATACGTCTCCGTGGTCATGTGGCCGGCATGACTCAATGCCAAAGGTGCCCGGAACCCTGTTACCTTCCCACCAAAGGTGGTCCCTATTTTTCTACTTGCATTTTTTATGTGCTTTCGAATTGCTAGGTTGGCAGGAGCTGGGACAAGTAACAGGAGCTTACCCCATTACGCAGCACTAGGGATTCGAACCACTGAACTGCCGACCTTTTGATTGACAAGCTCAGCGTCTTAGCCACTGTGGGTGTGGCATGACTTGGTGGGCGTGGCTTGGTGGGCGTGGCAGGGGAAGGATACTGTAAAATCCCCATTCCCTCCCCACTCCAGGGGAAGGATACTGCAAAATCCCCATTTCCTCCCGATCAGCTGGGACTCGGGAGGCAGAGAAGAGATGGGGGCGGGGCCAGTCAGAATTTTTACTACCGGTTCTCTGAACGACTCAAAATTTCTGCTAGCGGTTCTCCAGAACTGGTCAGAACCTGCTGAAATCCACCACCGGGGCCGTGACCGTGCGAGAGCCGGGCACATGCTGGGGGCTGCGTGCGTATCCACCGGGGGGGGGAGGGTGTGGGGGGGGGGGGGGGGGACAGGCATGGGCAGGAGCGGGGCATGTGTGGGGGGCAGGGCATATGTGGGGGCACATGTGCAGGACCGCATGTGCATTGCATTTTTGTGTTCGGGCACCTGGGCACTCGGTCTGGAAAAGGTTACCCATCACTGGGTTATGGGGTAAAGAGAAATGATATTGCTTTGCAAAGTCCATTTGCATCTGGACTGAACGAGGCTCCACTTTTCCTGCTTTGAATACTACCACTTTACATCTCGTGGAGTTTTCCATGAATGTTTTGTCATCGGTTTGCATGTTGGAGTTTGGGCCCCTTTTATAAAATAGAACATAATTCAGTTTATATGTTATTCTTTTCAAAAATTTCTCCGCTGCCCTTGAAAACAAGATTTCTAAAGGGCCGCTCTCTGCCTTCCACTTCTCTCCACTATTACCAGCTGAGGCCATCAAAAAGACCTTGATTTTTTTTATTTTATTTTCCGAGTTTTTTTTTCTTCCTGTACAGTGTTGTTCCCTCAATGTTTGAATGCGAAGGGCTGTAAGGGAGAATAATGGGTCACCTTAACCAGCAATCCATGAATATCTTCAGGAAGTTGAAATAAGCCTACGGAAGACAAAGTGGAATTATCTGTCTTCTTACAAGACACTCCTTTTCAAACGTCATGGTTCCCGTTGCATCTCTTTTCTCCTGATCCAGGTTTGGTCAGTGGCTTTTTAAAAAAAACAACAATTTAAAGCAGGGGTCACCAACCTTTCGGACCTCAGGGACCACTAAATTCATAATTTTAAATCCTGCGAACCACTAATATGATCTGCCTAATGACCGGCTGGGTGGGTATAGCTAGGTGGTCATGTAGCTGGGTGGGCATCGCCAACTCGATGGCCAACTCGATGTCACTCACATCGAGGAGCACCACGCCGGCCTCTACTCACCCCTCTCCTGCCAGTCACTCCCCGCCCAGGCTCCTTAGGATGCTGTATTTTTCTGGATGTCGCATCACATATCCAAAATACTCTTAACTTTCACTTTTTAATGGCTTCTGGGAGAATTCTGGGAGTTGAAGTCCGCCACGCTTAAAGTTGCCAAGGTTGGAGACCCCTGTTCTAATATACAGTACATAAGTATCCTTTTCTATCTAGTTGCCCTCCACTCCGGAAATCGTTCCCAAATCCTGATTATGTTCTCTCTCTCTCCCCCTCCCGCCACTCTCTCTTTCCTCTCTCCCTGCCCAAATTAAGGTTTGTGATTTTTGATCCATGTGAGAAGGCAAACTTCCTGTTTCTTGAAAGTTCAAGTTATTCAGTGGGGAACACAGTGTCCGGAGAGCGTGGAATAAATAAGTGAGCGAGGATTGCTGGTTTAATAAGGAACAGAGAAAGTTTTATAAACTC